ATCATTTCCAAACACACATAGATTTCTCTCAGAACTTTGGAAAGCATTTCATGTTCCAAATCTCTGCCCAGGGGTATCTGTAAAAACACCTACATATACCTCCCTTTCCTTGGGGATGCTCAGAGCCTTGCAGACTTATGCTTTCCTGGAGAAATAACACCTGGCCTATGGCCAAACATCTAGCAACTCGTCAGCCTGTAAAACAGATTTTCCCAAACACTTTCCAGGAAAGAAGCACCCAGCCACACTCCTGCAGCAAAGGACACCGAGCTGCCCTTCTGAGAGGCATCTGTGGCCGTAGGCAGATAGCAAGGAGAGAGACAGCGCCCCTGCTATGACCTGACTGTAAATACTTGTCTCAGTGCCCAAGGCCTAGGTGTTTATCAATATCTTGCCCTCTGGGATGAAACAGAAATGCTCAGAATTCTCCCTTTCTGACGAGAAGGGCAGCTGCTTTCTCTAAAATCACACAGTCATGCATTAGAGAATCCCTTGCTATTAGGATGGGAGACAGCTCAGGCCCAAGTGTTATTGTCTTGGTTACTTTTCTCATTGCTGAGACAAAATACCTGGGACCCAGAGTTAAGGAAGAAAGGTTTATTGTAGCTCACAGATTGTAGAAATTTCAAATCGCAGTTGGCTGGCTTCAAGGCACAGTGTCATGGCAAAGAGGCATCACAGAGGAGCAATGGTTCATGGTGTGCAGAAGGCAGCAAAATAGCAAAATAGTGAGGAAGCAGTAAGTGGCAAACAGTGATAGCAGCACTCTTTCTGTTCCTTAAATTCTAAGCTACACGCCCTTAGGGAGGGTAAACTCACTCTTCATATTAGCATCACACATTCTAGATCCAGCCACCTCTGAAAAGACCCACCTATGAGCTCATATGGCTTTGGCAGGGACATTTAGACACAAACCACAAGAACTGTCTTGGGACCTGGAACTTTCAACTCCAAAACAGTCCAGGCCAAGCAGGATGCTTGGTCCGAGATTGGCTAATCATTATTCAATGCTCTGTTTACTGCTAAGAGAGTAGACCTTGAGCCCTGACCTGGGGCATGGAGACTTGGGCAGCATCTTCATCTCTGCTACTGGAGGCAGCAAAAGGCAGGCTCCCCTATGCGGCCCAGGCAAACCCCAGAGTAGGTGTTCTGAAGCTCAGGACTGGGCAATTCTCCTCTATGGGCCTCTGTCTTATGCACTGAGAGATAGTGAGCAGCACCCTTACATCACCCATCAGATGCTGATAACATGCTCCCTACCCAAAGCCATTATGGATGTTCCCTCAGGTGAGGGGTGGGGATAGCTAAACACCCTCAGCCAGGGACTACTGCTCCAGAGTGATGTCTTCTGCTGCCCACCCACACCTTTGGTGTTGCGCACAAGTCAAAGCAGACAGAATAGGCATCTGGGGTTGGGACAGGGCAGAGCCGGTCCATCTGCCCACTTGCAAGTCCCATGTTTATTTTACACCCTTCCTGGGTAGAAGCAAGTGTAGTCTAGTTGCTGAGTTCCCTCTGTGACCGTGCTGCCTCAGGAAGGCACCACCTTAAACCAAGGTATCACAAGACTTTTTGTAGATGAGCTAAGGGAATCAAAGGGAGTTTGAAAAATACTGTGTGGTTATTCACAAAGTACATGATAGGATGAAAGCTCCGAGAGGTTCTGCAATAAGAAACCCTATTTAAATATCACAACCCAGATTTGTGTTGAGGTCAGCCTATTATAAAAATTAAAGGGAGATTTAAACACAAGAGGCTCAGGCCTTCTTGGTTTCTTTGGACAGACCGGAGTCTTTCCTGACATTTCCAGAGTGGCTATATTCTCTTGGTTACTTCTAGTTCTGAGTTCAACTTCCCCCTGAATTCTCCAACACATTCATAATGTGCCTCTTACCACTTCCCCATTATTTCTTCTCTTTGTAGACTGAGGATTCAGATTTCAGGTCTCTTTCCCTAATTTCCGCCCCCCCCCCCCCGCAAAAAAAATACTCCACAGGACATGTGTTCAGCAGCTTCCCTGTGGCTTGGGGGTGTCTTTTACACCCGATAATTTTAACCCTCCTTTCACCTCAAAATTTTACCCTTACCTTCCTCTAACCCATGCCCCATGCCCCAACTCTCTTTGCTTTACTATATAAAAGCAATTTCCTTTTCCCTTAGGAAATTGCCTAGACCTACTTTAGCATTTTCAAAGCCTTGTTAACAGGTAACTACATAATTTACCTTCCAAACTATGACCCTAGAGAGTGAAAGTGGGCCTAATAAAATTTCCCTGGACCAATAGGAGGTCCCAGGCAAACCAGGATAGGCCTTCTTTTTTTTTTTCATTTATTGATTGATTTATTTATTTATTTTTTAAATGATTTTTTTTTAATTTTTCAACAAATAATTCACTGCATATATTCTTCTTAGTGGTTAATTGCTGTACAAGATGCGGACTTGTGATCCTATTTACAAACACCATTAGAACAAATCATTCTATTCATTAACAGAATGTAACTATATATCTATCCCAACCACTTTGAATACACAGATACAAAATGGACATTCATCTGTATACCCCATTTTTTCTAAGTTCCGTTATTGAATATTATAGGTGTGTAAACTCAGCAAAATATTCTAAAAGAGTCCAGTAGCCCATAATAGCATTGGGTCTTCTGTTTAACTGGCAGGATAGGCCTTCTTCTCTGCTGGGACCAAGGGCCACTACCCTTGCCTGATTTCAACCCAGGACAGCTGCACTTGCTCGGAAATGGTAGCACTTCCTGAATGCTTTCTCCTCACTCCCAAGGCCCTGCTCATGGAATAGGACCAGGCAACTATGAGGAATGGCTACCATTAGCATTGGCTTTAAAGGGGAAAGACTTCTGTATTATTTACTGCTTATTCACCATTTCTTATCATTAGATGATTATATGTCTCACTGATGTTCTCCATCCTACGGCTGTTAATGTCCCTCCTACTGAGAATGGACCATGGGCATCTTTGAGCTTAGAGGTGCATTGCCATCAGCCTTTTCTCAGATAACAAGGGCAGGTATGGGAAATCACATTCTAGGGGTCCTGAGATGGAGAGCAATGTCTAGGAGGTGAACAGGCAGGAGCCACAGAAACGAGGCACCCAGAATAGCGGAGGTCTTTGTTTTACTAGGGATGATCCATGGACTATGCTGTGGGAAATGCCACCTTAAGTCAATGACTGATTTGAACAAGAATCTTTCAAAGACCAAAAGTGCTGAGCACCACCAGCCATGGGTCTGACTGGGGCACCTGTACTGTAGATGTCTAAGCAGTGGCCCTTCCGCCTGGTACCTTTTGCCTGGCCACACTCAGTGCTGGGTGCCCTTTTCAGGGCACCCCTAAAGAGCCAGTGGACAGATGACTGGGTCCCACTGCCCCCTGAGCCCCTCTGATGTATCTGCCTCATCCTTTCCCTACCCCCAACACCAGGCCAAACTGAGAAAGCTGGGTGTGGAAGGGTGTTCCTAGCACATTGGTCCTGATGAGCAGCCTGAGTCCTATTGAGTCTCTGGTCCCAATCCTCCCACAGGGCCTGTCACCACTGGTGACTGCCATTGTCCCTTAGACTTCTCCCTAGATGGTAGACAGTAGAGGAACAGACAGAGCTTCCAGAAAAAAAACCTTGAGGTGCTGAGAGCTCTGGCTTCACCAGTGTGTGACCCACCTGTCTCAGAAGCCTTCTCTTTGATTCTGCATGGGGCTGTGCCTTTCCCTTTCCACTGCCTCCCCCGCCCCGCCCTGCCACCCCGAGACTGACTTAATGGGGTCTCTGTCCTCTGTCTGGTGCTCTGCCTTCCAGCAGCCTCCAGAGAAGCCTGCCAGCCCTTTGCCTTTGGGCATTTATACCACTTTGTCCCTTCTTGTTCCTGCCACCTAGTCCATTTCCAACATTAGCAGCAACGAAATCATCCTAAAATGTAAGTCAGATAATTTTCAAAACTCCAAAATTTCCAACTTCCTTCCAAGAAATGGTCAGGGCCCTGGCTCCTTCCACATCATTACTCTGTCCCCTCGTATCCCCAGAAACTTCTCTGGACACTCTGGAGTGAGTCCTGTCTCTGCTCTTGTTAGCCACATCGGCTGCACTTCTGCCCAGGACATTAGCACTTGTTACTCCTCCTGCTGGAATGGTCTCCTTTTAACCCCAGTCTCCTGTTCTAGCTCGTTCAGGTCAATGAGGCCTTCTCTGACCATGCAGAGGAAATCTGCTCCCACCCTGCACTTCCCACCTTGCATGACCTGCTCTATTTCTTCCATAGGGCATAGCAACATCTGACACGCTGGGTATTTGCCTGTCCATTTGTTCTTTCTAGAAAGAAAGCTGTATGAGGATACTGTTCTATCTGTTGGTTTACGTTGTAGTCCCAGGACCTTGAACACAGAAATGCTAAACACTGATTTTTGGGGGAAAGGAACAAAACAGTGAATCAATTGCAAAGTCCTAGGCATCTCTCCAATCCCCAGAGGTCAGCAGTGAATGCAGCCCACTTCCCACCTCTGGTCCCTTCCCAAGCTCTTTTCCAGAGGGTCACCAAGTCTCCCAGAGAGAAGCTCTTCCTATGAGTCTGCAGCCTCCCCGGCTCTCCACACAGGGCATCCCATCCAGCAGGGAGCCATTCATGTGTCACAGACACGAGCATGCGCCTGCTGCAGCTCCCACAGGGTGTCACTTCCAGACCAAGTAGAACAGCCACATCCTGCATGGGAGGCATGTGCCACCTAGCCCCAATCCCACCCTTGCCTTGGGAAAGCTCAGAGCTGGAGAGTACCCTGCTGGGCCCTCCTTCTCAACAACCTATCTCTGGGCTTGGGGAGGGGCTGGTGACAGCAAAGGACAAGCATGTCCTTGTCTCTCCTAGGTCACTCCTTCTCTTTGGAACTGAGCTTTGACCACTAAGTTAGAAGAAATATCCAGATGCTTCATTTTGTGCATTATTTAAAAACACACATATCTGTTCACACAAGTCGAAAGCAGGAGAGGTGCTTGGATCCAGAGCTTTTTCCCCACTGGTCCCAGTGCCCCAGGCCCCATCAGTGGAACACAATGGAGGCATATTCCACTTGATCTGGCATCATCCTTGTCCTCCTGGGGCACTCAGAACAGGGCACGTTGATGTAAATGGCGAAGTCTTCCTCTTTCCAGGGGGCCAGGTTGATCACATTGCAATACACAGCCTCAGCTTGGCAGGAAAAGTCCTTTAGAAACAGGAACCCGGTCATAGATGGCCACGCAGTAAGGACTTCCAAAGCCAAAGCCAGGCACGTGGCTGTCCCTACAGGCTGCTGCGCAGAGCCCTGGGTTTTCACACACACACACACACACACACACACACACACACACACACACGCACACGCACACGCACACGCACACACACACACATTCCTTCCCCACCAGTCACCTGCTTCATCCCATCACCCACACCAAGAAACCACAGCAGAGACGGCCGAGGGCCTCTCCCTGTATGACTTCATTTACTGCCTTACCAAAGGTTTGCGGAGAAAATTGGTCTGTCTTCTCAGTTGTTCCTTAAATAGTCCTAGAAAAATTAATAAGCTCAAGGTCAGATGCTGAGTTTATGGCTTAAGTGTGAAATGCAAAGCCCATGTTCAGTGGGCCTCTAAAGCTAAGTAAATCTCCCAGAAAAACAGGGGATGTGAGTATATTGTGCAATTTTACTGTTATTTAAATAAGATTATTTGCTATCAATGTTTCTTTTAGTTGATCCATCTTTATGCAAACAGCTTTTATGTGTCTTTTAACATAAAGAATTTGTATGATGAAAAGCTCCTGCTGCTATGTACGGAGTCCCCGGTGACTCTAGAGAACAATTATAGCCTGCCCAGCACCCCCTCAAGGCTGCCTCACAGGAAAGATGCCCCCCATCTCCCCCAGCTTCTCCCCTGTCTTCATGCCACTTCCAGGGCCAGCTGCTCAACTCACTCTCATGCCTCCATTTCTTCAAGATCATGACCAAGAGGCCCACCAGGAGCAAGATGATGGCCACAACACCGAGGGATCCAGAGAGGGTAGTGGCCACCGTGCTGACACTGTGGAGAGCGCCCAAGGGAGACAAGGTCAGTCCAGCTGCTGTGGCTGCCTGCTGACCACCACCAGAGTGCCCTGGCTGCCTGCCCTGTGCCTGCTCACCCAGCTCCGGGCTTCTTCCTCCCCCTGTAGTTGAGTATCTGCTGGCCTCCGTCCACAGCCACAGTCCCACCTATACCCTCAGACCCCTTTTCTGAGCCTAGTCCTCCCCTGAGTCCTACAGACCTGGTCTCTGGCTTCAGGGTGGTGGTGTTGCCTGCAGGAATTAAAAGAGAGGAAGACGAAAGGATTAGTTGGAGGCAACTCTCACACGCATGCCAATGAGCTCTTGGGATCCTGAATGGTAACATTAACTTCTTATGACCTCATTTAACCTTCATAAATAGACATGAGGTATGAGTGTCGTTATTTCCATCTCACAAAGCCCGGCGCTTGGGGATGAGACTGCTCAGGGCCACAGAGCAAGTAAGAGGCAATCTGGCTGTGAACTCAAGTCTCTGTTCACGCACTCTGCACTCTACTGCCTTCTGTGATCATTCACTCATTATGCAGCTATGACAGGAGGTCCAGAAAAGAGCAAGGAGAGTGACCCAGTGGTGGGGACCAGGAAGCAGGTATGGAGGAGCTTGAAAGGATTCTGAGACTGGGAACGGTGGCGGATGTGAGGATTTGCCCACATTCTGGGGAGGAAGGAGAGAATTTGTCCCACTGTGAAGGAATTTCTCCTGCCTCAAGGAGCAGGGATCCCAAGTCCATGTCTTCTGCAGTCACAGCTGCCTCTAGAATCTCGGAGTGGGTTAGGAATCATAACACCCCCTGATCTCAGAGGCAAGAAAACTTGAATTAAATACTTCAGCCAGGACTGAGTCCATATTTTTACTCCAGACCCAAGCTTTCTGGCCTGCTGTACTCGGGCTCTGTGTATTTCTCTTCCCATAAGGTGGGGTTGATGATTCCTGGTCCTGGAAGGTGGCACCTGTCTCTCTGGTCACGTGTACCAGGAGCTGGCTGCACTGTGATATAGGGACAGCTGCCAAGAAGGCAAAGGGACACATCGAGCTACCACAGCCATCTATTCCCAGGTTGTAGGGCCAGGAATTATAGCTCCTTGGAGCACCAAGCCAGCAGAATCGTGCTGGGCACCTCAGCAGCTCAGTTCTTTTCTGTCAACCCCTTCTGTGTAGGTCAGCAGCCCTCATCAAGTTCCCTTAGGAGAGCTGCTGGTGCCCACCCAAAGGTCAGGAGATGGCTCAAAAGCCAGATCTTCCCAGTGCTTATCATTGAATATGGGTCATCCAGAACACAGGTTAAGGGGTTTGGTGCAGGGAATCAGGGTGGGTAACAAAACACACACGATTGGGGATTGGGGAACCTGAGTCACTGGTTGACCGGAGGCTGACCATGCCCGTGTACCATAAGGAGCAGAGACAGCGTAAGGATGGCCATCCAGTACCAGAAAGGTATGTAGCTATCCTGTGAAGGCAGAGGTGGCAGGACTGGCTGGGAACATAAGGTCATCAGGTTATGGAAGGACTTGGCCTTTTGGGCCTAGGTCTCAGGAATTTCTTGACTGCGTGATCTTGGGGCAGACACTTACCCTCTCAGAGCCTCATTTTCTTCATCTATGAAGTGGACATAATATGAACACCTACCGCACAGAGTTTTTTTCTTAAAGAATTTATGCTCAGCCTGTTGTTGAAGTAACAGCCATTTTGTCTTGGGCTTGTTTTCAGCTGGCCTTACCTGGTGAGAGTGACAGGGCGAGATTCTCCAGGGAGGCATTGCTGGCTCCGAGGGCCTGAACGCTGGAAGTGGTCGAGTTCATCTCACCCAGGGACCATCGGGGGTTCTTGGCACAAGTGGGCACCCTTTATTTGGAAGCAGTTTTTCTCAAAGCTATTTGCCAAAAATGAACATGGGGCCTCAGGCAGTTGGCGCCTCTTCTCCACGGCTCTTATTCCTCCGGGCAACCTGCTAGGAGTGAATGCTAAATTTCACCACTGGAGAGGCCCTTGAAGGCATGGTGGCTGCATCTGTCTTACAGAAGGCATCTTCAGACCAGCTTTCTACATGGACACAGTCCATAGTGGACTCCCTCCCTCTGACACATCGCCCTTGTGGATCGCACAGGTTTCTGGAGTCACCTTTATCCTCTGCTTAGGGGGTTACTGTCAGCCTCCTCTTACAAGAATGTGAGCTCTGCAGAACAGAAGCCTGTTCCATTTGGCCCTCCCTACATCTCCAGAACCTAGAACGATGCTTCATAGAACAAATAAATTTAAAATACATTTGTTGGTTGGTTGAGTGAATGAGTGACCGAGTGAGTGAGTGCCAGAATGATTTCATAGCAGGCTGACCATGATCACTTGACCTGTGCTGCAATTTTTTATTCGTTTGTTTGTTTGTTTGTTTGTTTGAACTGGTCATCAAACTCAGGACCTTGAGAGGCAGGCTGTTATGCTGCTGAGCTATCTCCCTGGCCCTGTGCTAGAATTTTGGGAAGACTACACTCTAGACTTTCGAATTCTCAGATGATAGTCAATTTTTATCCTTTGAAGGAGAACGAGGTTTGAAATGGCTCAGATTACTCTGAACCATCCCGGCTCTGTGGTAAAGCTGGTGATGGCTGAATTGAGTAATGGCAATTTCTGGACAAGAGGGGCTGCACTTCTAAATACCACGAACACGGTGAGGAGGTCCTGGATGAGGAAGTCCTGTCCTGCATGGGTGGCCCTGGGGGAGGAAGAGAGAGTCTGAGTGGGAAAGGGACTGTCCCACAGTCACCTCACACTTGTCCAGGCCTCAGTTCCTGCTTAGGGGCTGAGACTAGAAGTCATGCTTAGACCATCCCCCCACCACATCCTCGAAGCCAGATCTGCATGTCGGAAACCGTGCCACTAACAAGGCCAGAGCTGGAACCCAGAGCCCAGGAGACCTGGATGAGCCACTGTACTTGCCTGGACTCAGCTTCCCTGTTGGTGAAATGAGCAGACTGAGAAGAGAAATGAGACGCAACTTCGAGAACAACAAGCTCTTCCCACAAGTCATCTCTTCAGATGTCCGCTTAGGTGCAGCCTCGTACCTGGGACGTTGCTCAGGCAGGGCATCGCCCGAAGAGTGGGAAAAACTCTTTTCAGAAAATAGCCTCAGTGTTAGAAATTGTTTTTATTTTTAATTCTCTAATGAGTGAAGACATCATAATCTTTTCAGTTGGAGGCCTTTAAAGTTTCTGTTTTGTTAAGCAACACTGATAGTTTAAGATTCAAAGGCAGAGGAAGTTCAGTTCACTATGAGCTTTATGCACACTGGAGCAAACACACACACACACACACACACATGCACAATTTTTAAACATTTATCCTACATATGATAGTGCTTCATATATATTGTTCACACTCACTTTTTGCAGTGTGTCTGGGAGCTAAGTTATCATCAATATGTACACAACTTTCTCTTGCTGTTTTTCAGCAGCTGAATGACCCGGTAAACAGATGCCCACAGGTGACTTTAACTGGTTTCCTAGCGTGTACACTTAGATTGCTTCCAGTTTTCATTCTTCAGATGATGGGCTTTTGTTAAACTTGTACAGGGTCATTTTGCACACGCATGAATACATGTGTGAGATGGGGAATGGCCTTAAAACAGATTTGCAATTCATATTTTAGGAAGTCAGTATTTTTAAATATCCAAAATGTGGTGTTAGCCAATTTGATAGCCCATATTATAAGCTAGATTTCATTCTGAATGGCCCATCGGTGTTTCTAAACATTAAAATGTTCATTAAAAATTGGAAATTTATGCCAGGGGTAGGGGTGGACACCCATAATCCCACCACTCAGATGGCTGAGGCAGGAGGGTCACTGAGGCAGGAGGGTTAAGGCCAGCCTGGGCTATATAATGAGCTCAAGGCCAGCCTGAACTACATAAGGACCCTGTCTCAACAACAACAACAACAACAACAACAACAACAACAACAACAACCCCAGTGCCAGCTGTCTTTTTCACTGAGTTTCTCTCTCAAAAATATGGTGGAGTTTCCACAAAGCTGCACAACGTGGTACCGAAAGAGACCAAATGTCAGTGTAGATCTGAGAATCCAGCTATTATCAAGCTAGATATTAATAATAAAACTTGCAAAAATGTCAATGAAAACTTCTCATCACACTACATTTTTTTATGATTTGGAAAATAAAGCAATTTTTCATAAAATGGTAAGATGTAATGGTTTCAGTACTCTTTCTGGGTAGAACTAGGAATCAAGCCCAGGGATGCTCTCCCACTGAGTCCTTTTTATGTTATTTTGAAACACAATCTCGTTAAGTTGCCCAGGCTGGCACCGAACTTGTAATCCTCCAGCTTCAGCCTCCCGAGTAGCTGAGATTACAGGTAGGTGCCACATTCCCTAGCTATTACTTTTAAATGGATTTAGTAAATATTTTTAAAACTTCTTTAGCTTTTATTTCTAATGTGGTCTACAAATAGATATAAGCCACATCAACAGTAGTTCTTTGGCCTTCTCAGTAATCCTCTTTCTCTGAAAATAGTGGGAAAATAATCAGCCTTGAAAAGTCAGGATCAAAAATGCCAGGGTCTGTGGGTGGTGGCGTGCATCAGAGAGGAGGCAACCTCTTGGAAGTGAGAGCTCTCACTGGGCTGCCTCAGCGACAGAGAGGACGGAGCCCAGGCCCCGAGGGGGGAAGCTGGGAGAAGGAACGCAAGCGGGTGCGGCCAAGCTGCTGACCAGCACCTGCTACAATCCAAGGGCCACCGCCCACGCACTGCTTGGCTGGCTACCTGCACCTGAAATCCCCACAGAAGGCAAATTCAGTCCAAGGCAAGCCACACATTGTTGACGCTTACACTGCACTGTGGAGTTATATAAACATATTACAAGCATGTACTTTAAAAAAAAAAATTCCACTTCAATGAAACAAGAGTTTGTATCTACAGCAGAGGTAGGGTGGGCATAAAAAATATCAAAGGTGGCAGCACATACCTGTAATTGCAGCTAGGAGGCTGAGACAGGAAGGTTTTGTGCTCAGCCTAAGTAATTTAGCAATTTAGTGAGATCCTCTCTCAAAATAAAATAAAAAATAAAATTTTAAAGGGCTGGGGATGGATCTCAGTGTGAAAGCCCTGGGTTCAGTCCCTAGTGCCCCCCCACAATGAAAACAAAATATACAAAATAATGAGACCATGTATTATAGCTATAATTATAATAGAAGAGTTCCACCCATTCTAATTAAAAAATAATTTGTACATATGATCTGA